CTGGACCAAAGACGTCTGATGGCCGATAGCTATACCTACAGCTATGCTGCTAGCATGGTTAAAAAGATATCATTAGCTCATTCTACGTCACAGTGAGGTTTTGTTTATAATTTCGATTGCAGCCAGAACCCTTCAGTGTGACCTTGTTGTTGCATTTATACACCATCAGAATATAAAGTTATTGTGACATAAAGACGGTCAGAAAGTCATGTGTGTGTGGCCTTCTCCACCGCAATCCTCAAATCAACACAGCTTAAAATGGGCATGTGTGCTGGGGCGTCGGTGGCTTAGTGGTAGAGCAGGCGCCTCATGTACAAGGCTGTTGCTGCAGCGCCGCAGGTTCAAGTCCAGCCTGTGGCCCTTTGCTGCATGTCACACCCCCCTCCCTTTTATACTTGGCTATCCTATCCATTAAAGGCAAAAATGCCCAAAAAACATATCTAAAATGTGCATGTGTGCTTAAGTTTGATAAATTGGATATAGTGCTTGCTGCACTTGTCTGCGACCAAGCTTTCATTCCTCCAATGCAGGCCATCACATGTTAAGGAGGATACATAGATGCTTCCCTTCCACTGACACCCAGGTCAACTTAATCAACCCGCCTTCCATTTGCACAGCATGATCCCGCTGAGACGAGAAAGAAGGTCATGCAGCATCTCCACACACTGGAGCGTTTCTTCCCGCGGAAGCAGCTCGGCACAATCTGTGGTTATCTGTGAATCAGTAAACGGCAGCAGAGCCATACTGGATTTAAAAGCTTAAGTTCACTTGATTCCATAGAGAGATGTATGAACAACAATTACATCCATCACAAGGTTATCATTATCCTGCAAAGTCGTACAGGAATAGATCCACATTTTAGCAAATATGCTTTTATTTGAGTGTAGATGGGAAGATCAGCACCACTTCCATGATACAGTTGACTGTGAAGCACGTTGTCATTTAAAACAGTTATTTTATAAAAGCATCAGTTATCTGTGCTTTAAAGATTCAGTTCACCCAAATAATAAAAAAAGGAAGAAAACTCAGAGACTTTGTGCTACCTCCGAACAATGCTCCCTGTCTGAACGGATTGTGAGTTGTAAATAATGTCCTTTTTAATGGCTAGAACTGTGTTTACTGATGCTTTACTGAAAACTATAAGCCATTAATAAGAACAACTTTCAGGTTGCCTGGTTGTGAACACTTCCTCTGCCAGGTGTTTATCCTCCGGCAGGACAGCCGATGGTTTAGCTCTTTGATCCGTAAGAAAGACCCTCTTATTGACCACTTCAAGTAAATTCCAGGATCTACAGTGTCTTTCTTAGAGCCAGATGACAGTGGAGGATTTGGTCTACCACAGTCCCAGCCAGCTGCTCCGCACTGCTTCTCACAGTTTGCGATCACGTCTAGCATCCACATGCTAAATATTTGACAATGAGACTGAAGAAGAGCTCTGACAGCAGGACACATGCACTTGCACACATGTGAATGACACACAACCTCAGATACAAACACGTAGAGACCCTTTCAATAACCCACTCAGACACACACTCATCCCCTCCATCCTGTTTGACACTGGGTCCCTCCTTATAGTTCAATTATTTATCGACCTCAACATACAAGGCTTTTCATTACAAATTTATTTTTCCTGCACAGTGTGTGAGGGCAGCAGGCAGCCTGCTCGCTGTGTGTGCCTTTTGGTGTGCCAATTAGGATCCTTAATGTTGACTGGCCAGTGTGTCACATGGGTGTACTTCTCTTCATCTTTAGTTTTCTGCCTTTGGAGTGAGAGATCAACAAGATTTTTGACTCAGCAGCAGCATTTTTCACAGTCTAAAAAAGCCCCTGAGCTCTGTAATGCCACTTCAGAGTGTGTGTTGTGTGTTTCAAAGACCTGGCAAGCCTTCCTGAACATGAAAGTAATTTTTACTGTATCCAGAGAGCAAACAGTGGAGGTGTTTCTGTCACTGTAGATGTCTTCATAGCTGAAGGATTGACTTTTATACTGACAAACTAACACAACTTCTAAACAGTAAATGTTATTTTGTCTGTCTGTGGTTGTACTCATCAGAAGAGACCATTTTGAAATATAACAGGAGGAAAAGCACAGGTGTAGACAGTAAAGTTATGGATGGCTGAATTCCATTTAGCTGCCTCAGTTTAAGGATCCTGGTAATATGCAATGGCTCACTGTAACACTGGGACACTTGGATAGAACAGAGACATTGTTAATGTTAACACTTATGATTTTCCCACAATGACAAGTCTGTTGCTGCCTATTGCAAACAGGGTTTGTTAGCACTGCAATGCTAGCAATTGCAACAGTGCTGACAGAGCTAGTAGTGTTAACAAAGGTTAGCTGGCAGTTAACTTGGGTAGGGGGGCATTATGCCTCTGTGACAAGGTGTCCTGCCACCATGGGTCGGATGGTCTAAGTGGTGTGTATCAGTGGTGCTAACAGCATTAACAGTGCTAACAATGGTAACAGTGTTGACAGAGCAGTAAGGGTTTTTTTTTAATGAACATCAGTACAACACAAAAAATTCTAGGGAGTTTCCGAGCTGAAAAATATAGTCATACAGTGCAGACTTTGTATTTTGCTGATGGGTAAACAACCATACTAAGCTAGTGTTTGTTGTAGAACAGCAAATGTCCACTCTCCAGTGTCCAACTAATTAGCTAACTATTTATTTACATTTTACAAATATCCACCGGAGCTTTTATTGATTTGTCCATTTTGGACAGTGAACAAATAAATTAAACATATTAGGCCCGTCTCCACCGCAGGAACTTCGGGGTAATTTTACGGGGCCGGGGCCGTTGGTGCGTGTCTCCACTGCAGGAACCACCCCCAAAGGACAGAGTTCCGGAACTTTTACGGGGGCTAAACAAGTACCTGCCTCAGAGTAGGTACTCAGAACGGCCCCGAAAGACTCCCAGCTGGGGCTTGGGGATTACTTGGTGCTGACTGGATATACTCAAGGAGGGATGTGATGTCAACAGAAAGCAACAAAATAGCCGGCATTTTTAAAACTCAGCAGACGAGGATTAGCTCGTTCATATAGCTTCCTCCACCATGTAAAAAAAAAACCCTCACTAAATGGCCCATGAAAAAAATATTCTTTCCAGCGGATATCTTAGTTACAACATGATTGAGCTAGCAAAGCAGTTTTGTGTTGATATGTGTGGTATTTATTCAGTTTTGGGAAATCACAATGTCTAGAAAGCATCAGTGGCTGCCGCTGACAGGGACAGCTAACACTAGCAGCAAAGCTAACATCAGGACGTCATCTGTTAAAAGCCTCCCGTTGTCGGATACGACATGAAACTACTCCAGTTAGCTCAATCATGTTGTAACTAAGACATCCGCAGGAAATTTTTTTTTTTTCACGGGCCATTTAGTGAGTTATTACACATACCGCTAAGGGCTATCAGCTAACGGTGTCCTTACGTCGCCCCGGTAAATGATCGCGCAACGATTACGTCACATCCAGAGCCCATAACTTTACAGGAACCTTCCTCCTACTCCGCTCTCTCAGTGGAGACACGGCGGTTGAGAGGGCCGAGCGAGAGGACGTTCCTGTAGTAGTTCCTGCCCCCCAAATAGTACCAGGAACTTCTTCAGTGGAAACGGGCCTATTGATGAAATTTCAGATTGGAGGCATTTGTACATTTCATACTTGCAATGTAGCTCAGATTACATGTATATTTGAGCTGAGTGCCTGATCAGCAGGTGGAGGGGATGGTGGATAGCCTGATACCTAGACAAGACGGCTGTCACAGACCACTATTTGGGACCAACAAAAGCAAATTTTTTTTTAACGAGAGTTTGGTACATTTCCAGCCGTGTTTGTAGCAACCAAACTGGGTATTTAATACCAAAAACATGACATTTTTCTAACCCTAACCGACTGTTTTTTGAGCCTAAGCCACAATAAAAATTAACCAGCATAGAAACAAAGTTGAGACATAATAAAATGCAAAGTTTCAGCATATCCGCTACATATGAAAGGTACAAATGTAACATCTCCGTGGTTTGCAGAAATGTACTATGCCAACATTTATTCTAGCGATTGGGCTGAAAATTATGTATATGTCTTTCTCTGCAGTACTGTGGCAGTAGGCTGAAAGATGCTAAACGTTGTTGGTGTAGTTTCTTCAGATTGTCACTAGGTGCTAATAGAGAGCAACATGTTTCTGATTCCATCTAAGTAACTTTGAAGGTGCAGACTGTGGACTGATTTCTTCATTGATTAGCTGTGTCTCAAATCAGGGGCTGCAGCCTTCGAAGACTGCATTTGAAGACAGATTGTGTCACATCAGCGCGACCAAGGCTGTCCCATTTCGAAGGCTCCTTCAAGTGCAGCTGAGAAATGCATCCTTATTTCCCAGAATTTGGAGGATGCAATAGATATATCCCTTGTGGCCCAACATATCCCAAGATACATTGCGTGCCAGTGACTACTATATTTTAAGTTAACTAAGTTGTTAACTAGCTACCGGTTAGCTGTTGTTAACATTACTATTAGCTAAAAGCACACAGCTTACACAATCTTTATAAGTTCACCTGAAAATGGTCCTCCATCAGCCTGAAATATATCAAACGGCAATGTGTTTGGTGGTGAATCATCTCCTCAAGTATTAAATAAAAGATGAAGGTGAAGATTCTCGGTCATCCAGGTCATGGTAATCATAAGTGCTATATCGTGAGCAAATGGCCTTGCTGGCGTTTCTTGGAGACATTTCTCCCCTCATCCAAGAAGCTTCTTCAGTTCTAACTGACTGGTATGGAGTTGCAGGGCTTTAAACCCTGTGTAGGTGTGAACCCTTACAGAGTCGTTGGGGTCACGTGTGAGCTCTTAGTTACAGAGTTGTAAAGGTCACATGTGAGTCGTTGGCCACCTCCTCCTCTGGAGGCTGCAGTCCCTGAATTGAGACACAGCTGATGACTGCCTTTAAATCGACATTATGAATACAAACATTGGAGAACCACGGGAATGATTCAAACACATCAACGATTATTTTCAGTCTCACTTTATTTAACGATGATGTGAAAAGTAAAGGCTGTCCATAACATTCAGACAATAAAAGAAGAATGTTATTCAAATCCCCCCATAACAACTAATGGCTCCAAAAAAAAAGTTCAGGTGTTCCAAGTGTGATACTTATTTTATACAACTTTTTCATATCTATACCTCATCTGTACATAACATAGTTACAGATACTGTAAATTAAAAAAATGACTTCCAAGTATCCTTGTGGCGTATTCGTGAAATATTTCCTATGTAAAAATGAGAATGTACGTAAAGATCTTTTACATATACATATATATAGTTCTCTATTCTTTCTGTAATAAGAAAACAAGTTATTGCCCCTCTTGAACATGTTGCATTTAACATAGGTTTGTTTTCCATTTTAAACTCTTAATTGAACTTAACTCCATGTGATACCACATATCAAACTGACAAAACAGTAACAGTATGGACCTGTGTGTTGTTCCACTAAATATATACGTCATATTGTTATATTTTTGGACATGTATGTTTCGTGTTCTCCAGAAACCCTGATGATGACACATACAAAGATATAATTATATACGTATATGTCACTTCAATCTGCAAACTAAAAAGGTAAAAAGACCTGTGGCAAATACAAACCATCGGCATGACATTATTTATTACAGGAAATTATGAGCCCTTGACCTACCACAATTGCATTTGAACAATTTTTCATCCATGTTGAAAAAAGTGAATCTGACTAAAAGAAAAACAAAAAATCAGGGCACATTAAAAAAAACAACAGAATGATACCTGATGATCTGCATTTGGCATTTTAGATGGACTAAAAAAAAAGTCATTTTGTAATTTGGTAAAATGCCAGGAGTGGGTTATTAGGATTGATCATTTGCTACTACTTTCACTTTATTGCCCCCAGTGAATAACTGCTAAACCAGTAGCATAGTCGATATGATGATGTTGAGTTTGTCCACTGAGAATCTTGGCATTTGACATGTGTGAGCTGATCAACAGGTTAAAAGAACTGAATGTTTTGTAAGGAAACACACAACCAAATCGTAGGTGAGAGGATGAAACGACAAGAGTGGATTTGTCACGACAGTTGCAAAAACAGAGGTAACTCTGTGAATTATACATTTCATTTCATGCCGTCTTGAGAAAGCCAAATACCAAATATTCCATACATGGACACCATCATCGGGGTATCAGCAAATTGTACACAATCACATATAATGTAATATATAAAATGTGCAGTTGGTTTCTCTCCTCCTGAAGGAAGAACCAACCCTCTGACAATGTCTCTCACTCACTTGTCAAGTGACCGTGATTCTCTGGTTGGCAAAGGTGCGGGAGAAGCCGTGACTCCTTGGAGGTCTGTGCTCGGGGTTTCCCTGCTACTGTGCTCCGCAGGGGCTGGAAGTGGAGGAGCTCTCACGGGAAGTCACCCTGATATGTCCGATAGCAGGTGGATCTCTGCCAGCTTGTCTCCCACTCCAACTCTGTATCCTTGACTGGCCTTCCGACTGAAGACAGTGTTTATGTTCAGACATCAGCTCACAGAGGGAATCCGCTCCAGCTGAAGTGGAGCTTTCACTAAGTTCTCCCACACTGTTCCATGCATTGAGGCATTGAATTGAAATAAATCTATGACACGTTGTATAATTTACAGATGTGCGGCCAATGTTGTTGGGTCAGCGCCAATTTCACCCTATTTATGTACTGTGGGTCCTGCAGGCTACAATATAAGACAACAGGCACAGCGTTCAACAAACGCCTTAAAAACTAAAAACCAAGACACCAATGGTGAAACATATGCTAATAACAAACTTTCTCACGCTCCATAAAAAGTCCTTTCAATCAGAGTCTCTGCTTGCTTTTCTCCTGCATGAGGACAGTTTTACAAAAAAAAAGAAAGAAAAAAAAAGAAAAGAGGACGACACTGTGTCGATAACCGTTTTGCTCAGTGCAGCCTTCTTGGGCCCCAGTTCAACGGCACTGAATTACATTTCCATAGCAACTGAGGTATGTTCACTGTTGCTAAGTGTGAAGTGATTTTTCTTGACACTCAATATGACAGAAAGCCCTGTGTCTGTGCTTTATGCTCTATCACTGTGACCAGCAGTGGTGTCATCACCGTCTTGGAACTGAAAGCTACAGCCGGCTGGGGCTTTATTAGATGAGGCTCCAGTGTCGTCGTTGTCTTTACTATCGCTCTTGGAAATTCAGGTCAACCATTTGATCCAAGCTTGTTGTGGAACTCTTAGACCTACATCCTTTCCACCATCACTTCTTGAGTGTTATTTCTTCCGAAGAAGTCATTGTGCCCTTTTGCCATTGACATGAACCCCATCGCCCCGTGTCTGTGCTGGCTCGCTGTGAGGGCTAGATCAGATGGGCATCTTAACAGTCTACAAAGACCACTCTATGGGGATCAATATGACCAGGCCCGTCACTAATGCCTCATCTGAATAGCACCTGAATTCATAAGGTGCTCTCTTGCGTTTTAAGTGTACATCTGAATGTGTGCATTTCTTGGCATATAACACACACATATATAACAACTGTGGAACACTCTTGTGGTGCCTTTTAGCTCTATTTTCTAGCATATGCAGCCTTGGAGACCTGTTTAAAGGCATAGCATTGATATTCTGTAGAACATGCTTTCTGAGGACATATTAAGCAAGTTGTAAAATATGAAAGGCCTATGCAAAGTCTGATGTGAAATCTCTGATGTAACCAGTGGTGCAAATTTAGCAAAGTGGAAAAAAGAGCCATGTGTTACTCCAAGTTAGAGGAACAGGGCCCTGGTGCCTTTTCATGTTCTGTGACACACAAGCTTTGATGTATCCTACTTTGTTGCCCATATGCTAATTTATCAACAGTTACACAAACCAATTCAAATCTCTTTCATATGTCTAATTCTTTTTAGGGTGCCATGTCCTGATTACCTGCTCCTCTTACAAGCTCTACACTTAGAACCCGTTTTAATTGTCCATTCACAGCATATACAAAGCTTACAGTACATCAAAGTCAGAAATGATGATATTTACATGTCTCCACAAGAATGAGAAGGGAACGGGGAGTAAATTGGATGATTTCCTTTGTTGGGTTTTGTAAATTCCACGTCTCGACACCAGTATCCAGTCACTGAAGCAGTGAAATACTCAAGTTAGATGACACGCTCACACGTAGCCTCGAGCACATACACACAACAGATAAGGAACAGAAACAGACAATCCCCTCTGAAGCAGATAAGGCTACAAGTCAGGTCAGGGCTGGTCCACCGCTGTTCTGCTATTGGGGTGCCAGTGTGTCTGTGCATGTGTGTGTACTTGTGTATGTTTGTGTTGGTTTGACTGTGCATATGTGTATATGCCTAGGCAAGGGGAGCAGATGAACAAGGGGACATTGCTGTGAATTGAAGGAGTTTGTAAGGGTCATCCAGTGCCCACTCTCTCCTCGCACCCCTTCCTGACTGAGGGTTTTAGTTCTCAAGAGAGGCCGGGGTGAAGAGGTACGAAGAGTGAAACTCGGTCCCCCCCTCCCTCTCTTCTCCCCCTGTCCTCCTTGTTCCGAGACAAAATACGCACATACGCTGATGATATCAGTCTATTTGTTGTAGAAAAAAATAACCATATATGTCTCCTCTGCAAAGAGCCAGGTGGGGGAGTGAATGAAGCTCACAGGCCAGAGACCATTACCCGGTAGGAGGGGGGCATGTGTCTGTGCCGTGGGCTGGAACCAGGGCTGCCGTTAGGGCTGGTGCAGCTGGCATCAACCCCTCCTATGGAAGGTAAGTACGCATGGTGCAGGATGGGCAACTGCAAGGACAGTCGACGTTGTATGCTGCAGATAGAGAAGGAGAGTTACAATGTTATGAGATAAAGAGTAAGTACATTCACTCAAGTACTGTGCTCAAGTATAATTTTGAGGTACTTCTAGGGCATATTTGAATTTATTTGTGACTTTTTTACTTGATATTTTCTGAAAGCTGTAGTTACTTTGAAGATTATGATTTTTCCGACCCAGCTACCATTAATGAAAGATCTCATATTTTCATGTGTATACTTGGATTTTGGGACTCTACTAGAACATGGTTACATGCTTTAATGTTCATACTGCACATTATTTTTCTCATACTGCCTGCCTATAGGAAGCTTCTAAGAAATTCAAATCTTCCTATTTCAAATTCTGCATCTAGAAAAATGTAAAATTCTACACTGAGATTATCCATAGCTGACCAGTCCACCTCACAGCTGAAAACTGGTGAAAAATTGTGTCCTCAATATCAGATTATATCCATCACACATAAGAAAAAGTTTGTTGCTGGTGGCCATTTAGAAAAATGACTGCCATGGCCACCATATTGACAATTCAAGTTGGCTCCATGTCCAGTTTTTTTCAGAATGTCTTTGGCTATAAATGTACCAAATTTCATGCTTTTATCACAAAGTGCACATTTGTTTTGGTTATATGTCCGACTAAACAGGAAATACAATGTTGTCAAGTTTGAAATGGTTTATATAGTAGCTGTAACATCACAACTTCATGGAAGTCCTGACAGCTTGTTTAAAGGCACAGTAACTAAATATCGACAGTGCGCATTTCTCTGTGGACTGAGCGTTTTGATACTTTCATACTATATTTATGGCACCTTTACCTCTTGTATATTAAAAAGAGACTGAAATCTGACTTTTTACAATATGGGACCTTTAAAACATTAATTGCTGGTCTGTGACAGAATGAAAACTCTGGTCCCTGGCACAAAAATTGAAAGTGCTACACTCCAATTCACCACCCTGACCTCCTCATCCTTACTTTCCACCTACCTACATAAATGGTACAAAACTTCCTGCATTGGCACCTAACACACTTAATGTGAAAGTGCTGCAAATCCAATATGAATGTAATTATTTGAGATACAGGATTAGATTTTACATTTATTACAGAAGATAAAAATCACATAGTACTGACAATGGCACAAGGGAAAGACACAAGGGTCTATGGTTTGGTGGGATTCTACCACAGCCCATAAGCAGCACATGTAGTGGACTTGCTCAGATTCCAATTAAGATTTTCAAACATTTTGTTTGGCACTGTTTAAATGAAGTATTAATGTAATCACACCCAGCTACAGTGCTAAAACTAAACAGTAACATAGAAAAGATGAATCGCAACAGACAAGGCGAAGTATAGTTCATACAAGCTCTCAGCAATTCTTCTAATTGTTTCTCCTGTATTCTTTAGCATCCTCATTTCCTTCTTCACTTCTCCTTACTAAACCTCTAATCCACCGTGCCTCCCAGCTTCTGGGATCATCTGACAAAAAGAACATTTCATGCTTCCTCCTGCTGTGACAGTTCGCACCCAACCTCGCCAGTGCTAGCGCCACTGCCAGCCGTTTGCAAGAAAATTACATAACCAAATGTCAGTTATGTAAAAAATTAAGAGGGGGGAATGAAATCCATGCTCATTCAGTGATAGACCTAGAAAAATGTCTTAATTAGGTGAACTTTGAAATATTAATGGTCCTCAGGCCTAATCAGTTATCCTGACCTGTTCTATATGTGATGGAAACACAAGCTGCCTTGTTCGTGAAGGAAATGCTTTCATTTTTTTTTTGATGTATCATATATCACACAGACACTACATTTAACAACGTGCACCTGGTGTTCGACTTGGCACCCGTTATATCACAAGGTGTTACCATTCGTCCTCCTCCACCTTTACTCTCATCATACCTCGTTTCTCACTTCTTTATATTTTGCCTCCTCTTTCTCTTCTCTTTCTCTCTCGCTGCCTCTTCATCTCTCTTCCCTCCATGTGATCAAACATTTATGCGGCATGGGAATAGCTCCGAGTGTTCCTTTACTTCTGTTCTCCTCCCTGTCTATTTTCAGAGCTGCTTCCAATGCGAGCTGTAAATCACTGGTTACATAAGCCTCTGTGAGTCTCTACCTCTTTCTTTCTCTCCTCCTCCTTATCTCTGTCTCTCTTTCCTATCTAAACATCCTTCTCTCTTAATCCATCTTCTCTCTGTAACTGCCCTCTCTTCAATATTTTACCCCCCCTGTCTCCTGCCCCTCCCTTCTCCATCCATCTGTCCCTCTACATTGTGCATTCTTCTTCTGGTTCTAGTTAAACAGGCGTGGGAGGGAGAGCTCTCAATGATGCATGAAGTGTCCCCCCATTGATGAAGTCAACATCCCTCAGCTTTGCTTTCTTATGAATAGTAAGCGAATGTAGATCAGCATTTGTCGCATGAGCGTCTACGACCATTTTCTTTCAACGAGTTGGGACAACAAATCAATCAGCTGCATGCCTACATACGCATACTGCCGTTCATGTTTATATGTGTTTGAATGTGAACATGTATGCTGCAGCAAATCCAGCATGGTGGGAGAACACACATACACTCTATGTGGTTATATGTATGTTGATGTGCGTGGGAGAGAAAAGTACAGGACCGGTCCATGCTTTCGCAGGGCTCTGTTGCCAGAGCAACCGCCTGAGAGCTGCTGGTGGTTGCGATAAGTGTGACGTGTAGTCTGATGAGGAAGCTGACAAGATGGAGGGGAGGGGAGAGGGACATTGGGGTAAAGGTGCTGAAGAAATGGGAGAGCTCACTGTTCGGGCGAGTTGATATCCTCCAGGGGACCTCTGTTTATTCTGGAAGGATCCATGGAGCCCCACTGCGCCTGAGGCTTCTGCTCCAGGTGGTTCTTCAGTATCGACTTCTCTCCATCTGCATTGAAAACACATGTAGGTGTCACAAAAAATAGGCTGCGTCATACTTAACTGATCAGCTGTTTTAAGCCACATGTGCCCGGCACCTGAGACATGATGTCAAAGGTATACTATGCAGGATTTTCTAGAAGAACAAACAAACAAAAAACCAATGCATTGCCTCACACAAAAGCTATCCCTCTCAGTCATCACTTAAAACCCTCTATGCTTTGCTGTGGTCAGATGTTTATGGCTGTGTAGTTTTCAGACCAGCCTCTTGTCCTAATACCTGCATCTGGATCAACATTTGTATCTTTAATTGATTAAGAGGTGGGGTAGTCATGAACATGGAAGGTGTGTCTTGTTTTTTATGCTGTTGCTTTGATCCTAACGCCATGCAAAAAGCAACAAAAATCTGTTAATCCTGGGTGTGTGGCATGTTGATATGCATCTAGCAAATGAATGAATTTCCTGGTTTGAGAAGGTTTATATCATTGCAGATGTGCGTTTTCACTCAAAATTTAAGTTTACTCTTTACCAACCATACCAAGGGAAAAACGACCACAGACTGTCCAAAAAAAGGAAACCTTCAAACAGCTGAAATGTAAAACAGTTATAATTGTGGTCTGACAATATGTCAGCCATGTCTGTCAGATGACTTTCCTTGTTCCAAAAAGGAAACCGATTGCATAATCTAATCACATCACATATGCAGGTTGGTATTTAAAGCTCGGGTAAAAATATAACTGACAGCTGTGTGGGACAAATTAAAAAAGTGGAGATGGAAGCAAAAAGAAGCAAATCATCAAAGTGAGAAAGAAAACAAAGGAAATAAGCCTCATCCAGACAGGAAGGCGGCGGGAACAGAAGAAATGGCTTCCCAACATGATTTCTGCATTCTCCGGATATTGCAGGGGCAGCAATGAGGTTGAAACACAATAAGAATTTTCCCCACCCCTACTGAGTTTGTCTCCAGTTGTCCCAGATTTCCCAGCACTTGCTGACCTGATTCAGTGATCACAGCACTCCATGCCCTGATTGGACATCTGAGCTCTGAACTATTTTCCAGCAGTCTTGTCCTCTTCTGAAAAAAGCCTAACCTTGTAGCTCTCAGAGCTGTGTTAAAAGCACAGACACGGATATTTATACTTTTCATTATGGATTCAGAATATGTGTTCATGCCACAAAGAAAGTATTAGGTTACTGAGTGTTTTCAAGTGTCACTGGAGTCCAGGGCCAGCCTAAGTATTATACTATACCACAGGGTTACAAGAACGTATCACGATTTAATTTTTTGTGATACTGTATAAATTCTCAGGGACACTGTATCAGTTTTTTGGTTTTTATTTTCTTGATTTGTTAACTAAATAATACTGCAAGCACTTTTATTTTATTTATCTATTCATTTTCTTTTACTGATATAGGCAGTTTTTAATTCCTTTATCAGACTGCACAAAAAATTGTGCTATGGTATCAGATTTGAACAGGAACTGTGATAAATAAAAATGCAGATCCCACCATTCTGATTGCATAAAAACAGGTAAACTTTATTATACATTTGGTTGTGTGCTCTTTACATGATAATTGTTTTCCAAAAAAAAAAAAAAAAAAAAAAATCACGATATACAGTATCGACTTACTTACAGTTTTGCAGGTTATTGCAATATATTGAATCTTAACCCCTGTATTGTGATGTGATGAATATCATATAGCCAGATTATTGCCAATATAAAGCTCTACTGTAAAATAAGACTTTGAAAGTTTTGAATGTGCAACAAGAGACAATAACGTAAATTAACCTAGTAAATCTCAACATCTGTTCATTATTGTTTCACATTTATTGATGGTGCAGTCAGTAAACAGGACCTAACTAGACAATAAACTAAGCTTTGATCACCACACCACAGACATCAATAAATGCTGCCAACAAAGACTCACTCACTCAAACCCCACCTCCTGCTCCTTCTATATTGGGGCATTATTGAACCCATCCTCCTGTACTGTAACACCTGCTACTCCACCATGCTCATCTTCACCAACAGAAACAAGCCCCTGAAAATCACCAATATTTCTTTTAGAATAATTGGCCTCCCCACCCCAACCTGCCAGCTCTCACTGACACTGCCACCGTTAACACAATACTGACCATAGCACACAACTACACCCTCAAAATGTACCAACGCACAGAAGATGTGTGCATCTACTCATGGACAGTGGACGTCTGTGCAGTGATACAGTTGGCTGGTGTAGTTTGGTAGAAAGAAAATAGTTTCTACATGAAACTGCTCACAACAAGGTCTGTGGATTATCTTGAGTAACAGGGTCATGATTTCTGTAAAGACACATTGCTGTTGAGTTTTTCAAATGTATTTTTTTGGCGCTTTGAGCACCACAAGCTGAGTGCCATCTAGTTCCATTATATTCAAAAGAAGGCAGACATCTCTACAGCCGACATCTCCAACACTCGCCAAAGTAAATATGTATTTTTGATTTGGGGGTGAACTGTCCCTTTCATGAAGACACAGAGAGAAACAGAGACGTTGCTTCTTCGTGAGTGTAATCACTGTTGACATGGCGTTCTACTCTTACAACAGCCACTCATTCACGGCCCCAATAGCTCTCTTACGACACAGATGACTGCAGTTAGGAGCCAGCAATGATGATGATGGTGGTGACGATGATGATGATGATGATGACGATGATGACTGTCAAGCACAAGCAGATTTAAGCTGGGGAAAAGTTTGCGTGCTGGTGATCTTCAAATGAAGCTTAATGACCTGTGATTTAATTTCCATAATGTGTGTGTCAGATTGACGTTTGTGAGCAGCACCTAATGTGCTGTTTCTCTTCGTCTCTTTCTCCGTCCTTCCTTACAAGATCATTATCCTGAACACTTCAACAACTTAAGACTCTAATAAACTTCTCTGTGAATAAAAAAAGTGATAGCTGGTTCAGTCTATCGCTAAATATCAGAGTCTTGCTCTGAGACAGGTGGTGAGGCTCTACTAAATTTTACCCACATCTGTCAGTTTAAAACAGTGCTTGATGACAGCAGCAGGAATACAACTATATGATGAGTAAGACGGCCCATTTCTGTTGCTTCGTTGTATCTGATCCCTGTGCCCAAAGCAGAGACTGGATTATTTAACAACACTCACTCATTAAAAGGACTGTTTCTTTACGAGCATGTGATTCTTTTTCTTGCTAAGGGAAATATGAAAATAACGCAGCTGATGACTGTCTAATCCTTTCAGAAAAATGAAGTGAAGTTTGTTTTGGAAGTTTTCTGTGCTGCCAAAATCAGCTTTCCCCATTGCCCAGGCACCATGGTCTGCTAACTCCAGCTGGTGGCAAAGAAAAGGTGCACGTATTTGTTCCTCTATCCAACACAAAACAGTAATCTGACACTATTTCTTTTTTAAGATACATATGTTTTTTTGCTTTTTGCCTTTATTTGATAGCACAGGTGAAGAGTGTCACGAAAGGGGAAGAGAGAGAGGGGATGACATGCAGCAAAGGGCCCCGCATTGAAATCGACCCGGGGCTGCTGTGGTAAGGACCCAGCCTTGGTACACGGGGTGCATTTTCTACCAGGCGAGCATCTGACACTAATTTATACAGTAGAAGACAGATACAGATTGTTGGTCACATTATTTTTTCCATCTATAAAAATATCTCTGTAAATGAATATTAATACAAAACAGTGTCTTGCTATATTTGTCTCTGTTCTCTCCTGACAGTCGAACCGAGACAGCGCATACAAAGATTCAGCCTAGAATGGAGCTCAGTGTAAGTTCAATCAGGAATAGCAATTCACAGCTCCGTCTCCTCCAATCAGCTGACTACGGGGTTCCCTCACCTTGTTAGCCAATTAAACTTTGCCACGATCTCCTTCAGCCATTCATGTTGCTACTGCCAAACTTTAAATGTGTCTCTGCTCCTCTCAGCTGTCATTTGAGGTGGAATCGTCACGACATCCTCCACTCCGTTCACCTCCAGTCACCTTATCCAGAGCCCAGGCGGAGCTCATCAAGAGCCCGCTCCTCTTCACATCCAGGTCCTCAGCTCCCTCTTCATCACATGTCATCACCACCATTACCAGCACTAGTGTCTAGACTCCATAAGGGGGTTCCCTACTCTACCATGTCTTTACTTCCCTCCTGGAAAATATGACCTCACGATGGGGTCTGATCGCCAGAGACTTGTCACGTTCCTCATACTCATGTGCACATATAATTTTTTTTTTTTTTTCTCAGAACACGTCTCTCCTGATTAAAATAGATGTGTTTCTACGAGCACATGACATTTTTATTTCACTAAAGAGAGCCTGATATCATCTGCCAGCACTTTGGAGAGATTACTGTCAACAAATGGAAAATGTAAGAATGTGTTTGCTTAAATTATGCGAGCTAATTATTTTCAGATAATATGACCATTTTTCTTATTTCATTTGTGATTTTTTGACGAAGGGAAATATCATTTAAAATCTTCTCCCAGGCTCATTTAAACCCTGATACAGTGCACTGAGCCATGGCAGTTACTTAACATGTCTTCTAAAATCTTTCAAATCACTGAGAAATCACATGACTGACTAAAAGGATAAATATAAGACGATCAGAAATCTCACAGATGGTAGCTTATTTGCTAATTATCTACTAATCAAAATAATCTTGGCACTGAAATCTCGTTCTCTGTGTTCCATAAAAAGACACCACTAAGCTGCTCCATCAACCAATTGTGCAACACATTTTTTTTATTTCCGTATAAGGATACCTAACAAGGCTAAAATAGGAGTGTGTGTGTGTGTGTTGTGCATTTATGTGCGCACACAAAAGATGAGAGGCAGAGAAGGAAGAGAAACAGAAGGAAGCAAAGAACAAACTAAAACACAAAGACGAGGCATTAGACACGTTGCTCTGTGAGTGTACTGACTAAATGCCATCAGTTCATTGCGTAACTATGAACTTTCACAGATGAGGAACTTCTCAAACAATTCCAACACGCTCTGCTCCCAATCCACAGAACGAGCGCAGCTGTTTTACTCTTTTACCTTCCCAAACTCAGACAGATCCATTAGACACCCCTGAGAGCAGCTTTGTGCTGGCGTGTGCATCAGACGTGCTGAAACTGGCTGCTGTACATCACCATCGCCCCGCGTCTGTTCAAATGGTGCCTAATGCAAAGTGGTGCTGCTGGGGTGGAACGATTCAGTGATTCAATTTGAGGGCCCCGGCTTCATAATGTCTAAGATACAGCTGCATCAATTCAAACAGCCTGTGTCGGGCAGAAGATGGGAGGGTAAATGACACACGCTCTATCTACTGGGAAAGATGGATTACACATGTATCTTTATGTTCTAGCACCTGATTTCCTTGTGTTTCCATATGCTTGTGTCACCTGATAACTGCGTCACTCTACTGTTTTCTCAAGCACAATGTTCAACACCCAGCACACAACACCCCAGATACCCAATCACTAGGTGCAAAAACAAGTATGGACCCACTTTGGGCTCCACAATAAAGGTGGGAGAGTTGATAACAGTGTGACTACAGTGTGTGTAAAACTTGCTAAGCAGCAGTGGAGTATGCAGGTACTGTAGCTAATCTCATGACTCATCCTGAGAGACGTCACAGACTTGCTGTCAGACACAGTACTCGTGTCCCTACTTCACCTGCAGCTGTCAGGAGCTCCAGCAATGGAAAGAAAAGCGTCAAGATATTTTTTTCAACCTGCTGCTCTGAAAGCAGCATCAAAATCCTTTACCAAAGCCACTGAATATGCAGACGCAACATCCACACAGCAAGGAATTATTATTAGAAAATATATGAGGATTAATTTTCTTTTTCTTTTTCTTTTTTTTTAACTAACAACAAACTCTGGATGTTCTGATGGTCATGAAACCTATTTTAATGTGCATTATATTCTCTCTGAAGTGAGCAGCGGTACGCATTACTTTATCAATCTTCAAATTGCATCAGGCTGAATCACGCTGAACTGAGGTGAGAAGGGAATTAAATGCATCATACTGTGCTGCTTATTCTTGGTTGGATCCTGGTCTATACAGAGCAGCACTCCAGTGAGTGAGTGAGGAAGAAATGAGACGCCATGTTGAATTTTACATGGGCTGTATGAACAGCAATGACACTTCATTACAGCAAGTTACGCAGTTGTTACTTCTCAGCCCACCACATAGGAACACTGTTTCTCTAACTATGCACTGCTGATGAAATAAAAACCAATATTCTGTGACTGTGTTGCCTATTTCTTGCCTAAATTTTTTTCAGAAACGTACTTTAGCTTTAGCTTGAGATTATTTGTTACCAGCCAGCCACCTTATGTTTGTTTGCTGTGTCAGAATGGCCAAGCTCACATTATGTCGCCCACCAGCAGGAGTGTTTATGGTGCATTTGTTTTGTACTCGGAGGTCTGAAATTCCCAGTTCCCAGTAGGAAGTTTGAACTCAAACGCACCCTGAGATCGGAAACTCGGAGCAACAGCATCAACCCCGACTTACAAATTCAAGATGGCTGCCGGTCACATACATAGTGAGTAAACACTCTTGTTTTACAGTAGGGCAGCCATACCCATAGTACTGTTCAATTTTTATCCGTGGGCATGTTGCTACGCTGTCTGTATGTGCAAAATACCACATAGAGTGTTGTTATCAACATATATTGCTAACAGTGGCTACGGCTAAGTTTTTTTTCCGACTTGTCCACCTTTGTCAACTAGAATGCAAAAACTGTTGTCAACTCGGAGGTGACGTCATTCCCACTTCCGACTTCTGACCTCCGAGTACAAAACCAACGCACCCTTATTGGTCTGGCGAGGTGCAGTGCATTCTGGTACTTGTAGGTTTTCTACCACTTGAGCAAGTACGAATCCAAAAGGCCTCTGTTTTCTCTGGTCACGAAGCACCAATTTTAAAAGCATTTGCATCTCTCTACTGCACAGACAGCCCAGTTTTATGAAAAGATTATCTTCCCAGCAGTGAAATGCTTATTTAAATGTGAGAATTTGATCCTTTTCTTTGTCAGACATGATAATAAACTGAATAGCTTTGGATTTTTGAACTGTTGGTTGGATAAAACATACTATTTGAAGACATCAGCTTGTGCTCTGGGAATTTACACAGAGCATGTTTTACTATTTTGTTATATTTTAATGACAAAATGATTAATCATGAGAGTGACTGGCAGATTAATTGAAATTAAATACTGAAAATAATTGTTGAATCCCTAGTATGCAGGTAATTTTCTGTATGAGATGAAATATTTTCTAGTTGACCTCCAAAGTACCAAATGCCTCAAATGGGTGGGGTCACACAGACAGACTACCAGGACTGTAATAAATAAATACAGCCAGTTTCTCACCTTTGCCGTCCGTGAAGTTGCGTATGCTGAGGATGTTGTTGGCATCCGGGTAATGGTTCTGTTTGATGTAGGGAGTTTTCTCTGGCGTGTCCTGCAGCTGCATGGTCACTTCCTCCAGCTCCTTGTCCAGCTTTTCAAACAGAAAAACAGATAAATGTTTACTTTTTGAAACATGGGTAAAGTATTCGATGATAAAGTTGAGTAAGTACTTTATAGACCCAAAACTAAACTGTTGTTTGTTACATCAAGTTTTCATAAATCATTCATAGATTGCCTCGCCCAAGTAGGGAACATGGTTATCCGTCTGATCTATGAACAACAAACTGCTGCGACTACGAAAACACTGCTGTCTGCCAAATATACAATAACTTTACTTGTCCTCCAAGAGTGTCTGAGAAGCTCCTCATTCGCCACAGTCTTGAACAAAAGACAACTGCAGTAATTTACCTCTGACAGATTGGACAGAAAGCCTAGGTGATTGCAAGGGGATTTTTTTTTTCTAAATTTCACTCAATGTCAATATAAGTGAACATTTTTACCAAATGAATCAGAGTACTGTGTGGCCCGCTCAGTGACAACACAGTCTCTTGAAGTGATCAGAGTTGCTTTTAACAACTCGTGATCATTTTATTAGGAATTAATGAAATGACATTTGAAAATTAAATGGCTACAAGAGCACTAGTTTTTTAGCTTTTCAATTTCGGTGGAGTTAAATGATTTGCTTTCAAATCAAAAATGATTCTCTTCTCTTGTAGAACTTCTGCTCAATTACTGTGTCTTCAATTACGATTAAAAGCCGTTCCTTATCCCGCTACTGCATTAAAAACCCTGCCCCCCACTGCGCCGCCATCCTGTCTTGTAAAATGACGATCAATTGCGAAAAAAGCTCAGACCTCTGTTATCCTCATGCGGAGGCGGTGGTTATCAGTCTGAAGCCCGTCCAGTCGTGAAGTGTTAGCCTGGTTGACGCTGGTGACTGAGGTGGAGGTCTTGGAGTCTTCCTTCTTTTGGTTCTGGGTGAACTTTAACCTCCGGTTCTGGGTGGCAGCGTCTGGGTTGGTTCTCATGGTGATAAACTGTTAGAGGGGTTATGAGTATTAGTCACAGCTGCACTCTGGGATAAAATTACACCGGCAAAAAAAAAAAAAGCTACACATAACTGTTTACGCTGCGTTTTCAGCTTCCAGGACTTAGTGAAGTGTGGTGTGTGGTGTGTGAATGTGGTGTTAATTAAGCACTCTAGTTTCTGGCAACGCAGAGTTATCCACCTGTGCTCATACACACACTCTCCTCATTCACACACACGACGAGAACTGACCTTGGGAACGAACACCAAACAGAGCGTGATGGTGCTGCAAAAGATGATCACCAGTGCCACAATGCAGAACTGGACGTTAGGTTGGTCCCTCGTTAGAAAAGAGACAGCAGCACCGATGATGCACATAATGCCCACGTTGTAAACACTCATCCCGATGTATTTGCTGTCATTGAGAGCAGGGATGCTCACGTTCCTGGTCTCCCATGCCAGGAAACAGCCAAACAACTGTCAGGGGAAAAAGACAGAACATTGTGTGAGAAAAGACACGCAAAAACTGAAGGCAGTATTTAATTTCGGTCACAGAAAGTCTGAACTCATTCCTCTGTGGCAACGTGCACACAGTAAGTCAACAGTACAAGTCATCCTCACTATCTGAAACTATGCAGTCTTCTTTCATTTTGCCTCTGCTAGTGTAAACATCAGATTTTTTCAGAATAAAGCTGGACTTATTTTTCTTTTTATTCTTCATGTATTTTTTTGTTGTACAGTGCCTTTTATTGCTCTTCTTGGATGGAGTGCAGAAACATTTCATCTTATTTGACTTTGCTTTAAGAAACACTTAAGAATCAAACAAAAATCGACTCCATTACGTGATCCTTAAAGAGGAGAAACATAATCTAAAGACATCTCTCTGAAGCAGCCTTAGGTTGCGTGCTTGTAAAATGTTTATTTAGAGTGAGCTGTTTGTTTGCTGGAACATTAGCAGCAGCAGCCTGCACAGCCTGCTGAATAATTCACTGTGTGCCTGCCTGCTTATCCTAAAGTCTAAATGAGAGTTAGTGGAATGACAAGCAGCAGATTTACAGGAGCAGTCATCAAGGATTAGTGGATCTCAGGTGTGTGAGCGTGCGTATGCAAACGTGAAGTGACTGTGATGTGTGCGTGTATGCATTCATATGTGTGTGTGTGTGTGTGTGTGTGTGTGTGTGTGTGTGTGTGTGATGACCGAAACCTTAATGCTTCTTTTTGCTGTGCTGTCCCTCTCTATGCCTCATACAGATGTGGGCTCCTGTCTTCACTTCATACAAACTTTCCTACCTCTCCACATCTTTGTTACCGTCTTATTATTTCACATCCCCTTCTACGTGTTATGCTACTATTTTCTCACTCCTTCCATCCCTCTGTCTTTGACATTTTTTGGTGGTAGTTTTTACTCAGCATCCTCTGTATTCTCTCGGATGATTTATTGCTCTGTCTTACTCCTCCTTCGCCTGACCATAGTTGTAGTGAGGTTTGCATAATTCACAGTTGCTCCCGCTTCACAGAGGTTTTTAAAACACACTGTGTGGAGGGGAAATTCAACATTTCTGATCAGTTATAGCCCACAATGATGCTTAAAAGACTGCCTTTTAAAGCTGACCTGTTATGCCCATTTTAAGGTGCATACTTGTATCTGAGGTTCCTACTAGAACATACTTATATGCTTTAATGGTCAAAAACATTTTCCTCATGCTGCTCATACTGGAGCACCTGTTCACCGTCTGTCTTGGACGATCTGTTTTAGTGCCTGTTTCTTTAAATCCTCCTACTGAAAAAGCCCAGTCTGCTCTGATTGGTCAGTGTTTCTGGGTGTTTTCAGCATCTCTGCACCGTCACTGCAGCCAAGGGAATGGTTGTAATGGAGTATAGCGGCACTTTTTACAACCCGACGTGTTCCAGCAGAGAGAAAATTAAAAGCACTGGCAAACAGGATTATGTTTCCCTGATGTTAGCATGTAGCTACATGCAGCAGTGTACTTGCAGCCTGGGAATGGCTGTGTATAGCTGCACTATCTCCCGTTACAAATCACAAATTATCACTACTAAACACAACCAGACACATTCCAGCAGGAATATCATCCAAAATCAGGGAGAAATTAAAAATATCCACAACCAAGATTACATGTTTCCATGACGTTAGCATGTAGCTACATGTAGCAGTGTGGGCTACGTACTGTAAACACTTGCAGTAGCGTGCCTGGAGCAGATGACCATATAAAAAAAACTTTCATGATATGACTTCTTGTAGCCAAAGTAGAAAAAAACACTGCTTCTCAGTATGAAGCTGGAGCCAGTGCTGGTTAGCTTAGCTTAGCATAAAGACTGGAGGCAGGGGGAAGCAGCTGGCTGGCTACCAGCGCCTCTTGTTTAATATGTACAAAAAAAGAAGTGGATAAACAAGTGGTTTTACAGAGATTTGTGCCGGAATATCTCACGACCAATATCCTCCTCCTCTTTTATGCATGTGTGTTGTCTGTCCTCTTTCAGGTGTTTGAGGTCAGATGGCCCATGTTCATCTTTTTCTGGTGGCAACTGGAAAACGCTTTACTTCTTCCCTGATCCACATTATTTGTATGTTTACAATCTGTCTACTTAATATGGTCATCCTGATTTGCCATATTGTAATCTTAATACTGTTATTTTTATCTACTCTGCACACATAACATCTATTGCACGTCTATTCATCCTGGAAGAAGAATTAGTCCTCCGTTGTTCCCTCTGAGGTTTGTACCTGTTTTCTGGAGTTTTTCCTCATATGGACAGAGGGTTCAAATAAAGAAGTTGCACACACTGTAAAGCCCTTCGAGGCAAATTTGCAATATTTGATTTCGGGCTATATAAATAAAACTGAATTGACATGAAAGTGGTATCCATCTTCTCTTCTAACTCCTCGCAAGAAAGTGAATAAAAAAGTTTTTTTGCCAGTTGAAATCCAAACACACACCTCTTAAGATATTTATATGATGGGCTGGTTTAGCTGGCACCATAAATCATATTTGATTGGATAACTTAATATAACCAAACTTGAGTTCAAATTGAGTCATCAAAACTATTTTTTGTGGAGGGAAAAGGGAAAGACAGAGGTATGAAAATACTCAAATATAATTTTTTGACCCATTTTTAGTGTGTAATTACAAATAAATGAGTCATTTACACAGGGACAAAGGATAACAACTTGAAAAAAGTGTTTTTCATCTCACTGTGTCTTTAAAGTAGACACTCAAGGTTTAATATTGACACACATCTCAGAAATACAGTTATATAAAAAGGCATCAAGCCTCATTAATGCACATTTATAAAGCTGTTAAGAGTCATCAGATACATTTGTACAGTACATTCATAGTGTAAGTGTGCGTTAATGTGTGACTGGGAGTCCAAATTAAATTTATGTTCTCTCCTCTTACCATTAGCAGTCCCTTGTAGGCATAAACGATGCCCAGCCAAATGGTCATGTGGGTGTTCTCACAGTGCTCCAAGAAGGGACGGATGGCTATGTCTCGGCCTTGGGGGTCCGCCTGTTGACAACACAAAACACAAGGACAGGAAAGGAATTGAGTACCCTCCATAAAGTACTTTAATTGTTTTGGACAAACAAATGAGAAGGGTGAACAAGTAATTTGAACTAAGTACCAAGTGTACAGTAACAGAGAAACAGGCAACATTTCCTTAAGGGGCAATAAAACCAACAGAGGAAACCAGTAAACCAGCTGAAAAAGAAAAAATCCTTTTCCACAGTAGTTTTCTCTATGTAGGTGCTCTAATTTCACACTCAGGGACAAAAGGTACCCAGACTGTCTGCTGCTACTCAGAATGAAGGGTGTCAGTGATCAAACATCCAGGTGTGTAATCAAACTGTCTCCCATCATGGCCACTGGGCTTCTCCAAAGTCGGCTGAAGTTAAATTAATCCGTGCTTAGGACGCTAATGGGCACGACTAATGAAGCTTATTCATTAATGTGATTTACACCTCCTCCTTTCATTCTTGTTTCTCACTCAGTCTTCGTCACGCTATCTCTCCATCCTGCCCCCGTCTCACTATTTCTTTAGCTTTCTTTTTCATTTTCACTTGTCTTTCATAGCTGCAGCTGACACATGTGACTTATGGGGCAAATTAGCACCTCAGGTGGATATTAATACGCTAAAACACGTCACCTCTCCTTTCTTTTTTTCACTCTCTCTGTTAGGCAGTGCTTTAAAAAGCCTTTAATAAGAGCATTAGTTTGCCCTGCGTGGATTCATCTGAGGCCACACCAATATATCAATGCAGAGACACCTGGGGCACGCCTGGGCACGATGCCATGCTGCTCTCTAGGTGTGTGTGTCTGTGTGTGTGAGTGTGTGTCTTCAGGCTTATTTACAGTAAGACATGTCTAATGGCTCAGCAGATGGTGCTTGTGTGTATGTGTGTGTAGGCATCTATATTATAGTGTTTGATTTGCAGAAATTCAGTTTGTCAGCAAAGCCCTTTAAGGCAGAAAGCAAGATAAGGAGAAATGAGGAAAGGGAATGTACTGAAATGTTGGCGTTGTCTCGGTCCTCACACATGCCACACTGAGTGTGCACTTTGTTTAATATGTCTCATATGAATACTCTCATCATTAATAAAAACACACCTACACATACACATCCCTCTAGGGGCTGCGAAATACCTCTTCCACTAGTCATTTTGACCCCCACATTCTCCATTCAGCTCCCATTAATGGAAATTGCAGCTATTCGTGCTTTCCTCTTTGACCTTGATGGATTTAAATTAGTAGTTTTCTATAGAATGATCACTTAAAATGGGAAATTGGTGCTTACAAAGCTGCACTGATTCACCTGACAGAGATGAACAGGAACAGGCCTGTACCGTATCATTTCTGGATATCCTTTAAGTGTTGTATTATAGTACAGTTTTCTAGCTTTAACTCCCATGTCTCTGCCTTGGAAATACAACGTTCACACAGTTTCTCATCCTGCTTGCAATTGCTGTCTTTCACTTTTAACGTTCAATCCCGCCAAGGATTACATATGCAGTTACACATCACACACACACACAAAAAAGACACTGCGACAACGTAGCAGGCGGAACCCCCCTACATCTCAGATGTAGAGTCAACTTTTCCAACATCTGCCGAAGATCCTCACAACCTCTGATGTCTCAAAACAGAATCACATTAAAGAGCGAGGATCGCTTCGGTGGCAGCGAGTTCACACACTTTGTCAAAAGCACTCTTGTAACCCCTTCCGAGAGTTCCCGTGGCAACCGCGTGGCTCGTGTCACTCATATCTGTGAATATTCTGGGACTCAAGTGTTGGATTCTTGTTAAGCTGAAGGTGAAGGACTGGTGGAGCAGAGTTTCTGCCTTAAAAGCCATCAAGCAGGTGGAAACACAGGAAAGTAGGGCAGGAGATGACGCATAGGCAGGCTATTTTTTTTTTTTCACAAGGAACCACAATTAGTTGACACAGTACAGAAAAGAGATCCTGATACTCAAGCATGGCATTTCCAGCGTACAGCCACAGGTAACTTCTTCATGAAAAAATGATTTTTCAGCCTATTTTCGAACTTAGCAATGTGTTGGGACTGTGCTAGAGAAAATCATGAGTTATGCATAAGATGCCCTGGTTTGCCAAGTCTCTGGGCAGTAGCCAGTGGCACGAATCATCTCTGGTCACGGGAAGTGATACGGTTTCATATTTTATGTAAACAGTGATGACAATCATTCTGCAAGATGCTGGCCGCTTTGGACTGTAGTGGCTTTGGTGGAGCATGGAATATAAAGCTGGAATATAAAGATTTATCTCACCCCCTCTGCCTTCCAAACATATATTAAAGAACAGACTTGAGGCCTTTTTTTACAAGCAACAAAATCATACTACAGACACTAAATATCACATCAGACATTATGAAAAGCAGTACATACTACCAATTTCAGTGTCTGACCCAGGTACACTGAGGCCTACTTAGAACCCAAACTCATGTTGCACAAACAAAGAGTTCACTGCACCTTATTGAGAGACCTTTTATATAGTTTGCCCCAAAATCTAACTCACTGTGGGCTTTTCTAGTGACTGTGAAGGCATAATTTCCTTACTCAAAACCATTAAGTGACTACTTGTGTCCTTGCTTGAAGCAACTGTGTTTGTTAAGTTTCTCCACTCATTTATTCAGATGTTTCCTTTAAAGGCTCTCTAAGTCTTCCTAAGCTTGAAAGGTTTTTGTCACATACAGCAAACATCTCCTCATGATCCACTAGCTACATGTCATCTGAATATACTGTAAAAAAGTCCAGTCTCTGTAGGCAGCCCAGGCTCTGCAAATGGCAACAAAAACATTTTGGTCCAGGCTGCACCAACCAGCCAGTGTGAGACCAGTGAAAGCAAGCACACACATGAACGCGGTGCCCATGTCTCACGGTCTCGCACAAGCGCACACACATGAGCACAGTGTACACAGAGGCAGTTAGAGCTACAGGCTACAATGAGGCTTTTTCCAAACAACTTTTTATGTCGCGGCTTCAGGACACTTGGATCACTACAGACGAGCAGTATGGAGATACTTTGTGGTTTCAATTATGTGTTTTTGGACGTTTGGGGGGGCGAGCTAGCTCCATTGTGTTTGAAAACATTGTTGAATGTAAACAGAAATGACACTCAATGGTGCTTAGCGTGCCTTTAATTTGTCACAGTGCTGTATATTGGTGCTGCCTCCCTAACTCAGTGCAAAGATCTGAAGAAACAGGACAGAGTCAGATATCAGCTTGTTTTTAAAAAGACAAGCACTTTTCATTCTGACATTGTGACTTCAATTATTACACAACTCAACTCAAATTTATTTATAAAGCACATTTAAAAACAACTCACACTGACCAAAGTGCTGTACAAAAGGAAGAAAATGCTAAAAAAAAAAATGCATACATAAGAGGCAACATAACTGTCAGGTACACAGCTCACACATTTAGAGACAAGACACACAGGAAAGTGTGGGAAAGGGTGGGGATACAAAGTAGTTATATTTGTAACTACAAAGGTTACAAGCAGCAACTGAACCTTATGCCGACCATACACTAGAAGACTTTTCAGAGACTAAAATCTGACATCTTCTCACATCTAAAGACAATGTGAGATTTCTCAAGGACTGGGGATCTTACAGGCTCACTATTTGTAAGACTACACATAGATATATTTTGAGATTACTTTCCATCCTGCTCCTGTTGGAAAATATTACGCTACCTCACTTTAAGAAATATGATATATTGACAATTCCCTACGTGTCCACAAAAACACATAAATCTAGAAACACCAGATAACAGGCAACATATGTTGACAGGATTATTGTTTGGCATCAACATGATCTAAGAAGATAAACTGTATTTGCATACAATTTTACATTTTGGGATTAGCTTTGCTATTTCAGCAGGAGGAGACTGTAGGAATGAGAGGTGAGGATGAGCCTTTTTAAAAGTTAAGATTTCTCACTAAAATAAGATCTGGTTGTTGGATCAGAAAAACACGGACCCTTGTTGACTCCACAACACCACCATTTTCTCCTACGTTATCACAATCCAAGAGAACCCAGACTTGTTCACATTCTTGCATGTTCCCTGCATTTCCTCCATGTTTACTGTCTACCTGGTTTGCTTCTTCTTGTTTGGAGCAGGAGGGAGGGCAGCTAATGGTTGTTGACAATGTTACCATCATTCAAGTTCACTATTTGTGTGAGCCAAGACTTTAAGCGTACGATAATTTAAACATACTGGATTTTGTCGGAACGTCAAGAAGAGAGAAAGACTGACTTAAGACAGGACAGACTGAGTTCTACGACAACCTTAACAGAAATGATCGGGAACATGGGAATACACACCAGCTGAAGCAAAACTCACGATTTTGAAAATTTGTCTGCGACAGTGAAATAGCTTGAAAAGTAATTTGGCATAAGTGCACTTACAGGAAAAACATCTTATCATCAACCATCCAGAATGATTTATTGCAGGCTCTGAGTGTAAACGCACCACTTTACCATATGACATGTTAATTGTATGTTTACATTTGCATCCAAGAAATCTGCATATGGGGTCAGAACACTTCAGCTCTTTTCTACTGAACAGCTTCACTGCATCATCTGCATCTTCATCATTTATGTATATTTATGTTTTTGGCTGAGCAATCTGTTATTCAAACAACAATGCTCGGAGAAGTCACACTTGTTGCGAATGATTTTGTTCATTCAATATGAGAGACACATTCTGCATCAGTGCTCCTTGCATAGTCGCAGCTCCGAGCAAACTTGTGTCACTAACAACAAAATGATAAGACAAAATGAGATATAATGCTTATTAGGCTCGGGTCTCTATCGCAGCAGAGCAGACAGGAGCTCTCGCTTTTTGGAGGGAAACTGTCTGGGGAGTTGCCAGGCAACAGGGCTGTAGGCGGCAGGCGGCCCCAGAGCGGTGGTGATGGCGGTAAAAGTGGCGGTTCACTGTCATTTTTCACAGCATTAGCCCTCTAACTGGATCACTCTGGGAGGGCAGAG